GGCGGGCGGGACCTGGAGGTGAGCGGGTACCGGGCCGGCGACCTGGCGCCGCCGCTCTACCTGCATAGGGTCCGCGGCTCTGTACCTGCATAGGGTCCGCGGCTCTGTACCTGCATAGGGCCCGCGGCTCTGTACCTGCATAGGGTCCGCGGCTCTGTACCTGCATAAGGTCTTGTGTTTTACGGACCACGGTTTCCATCTTCTTCCGAATCTCGTGGGCACCTGATTGCCTCCCCTCCCCAAAGGTTGCAAACTCCAGACATAATTGGAAAGAGCCCATGTATACATTTTAAAACACTGAGCTGAAGTCTAGGAATGAAAAGGCGAACAAAGCACCAACTCTCGGGGTTGTCGCAGGGACCGGGAGGTGAAGAAGATGGAAAAGATGGGTAAGGCCCAGCCAGAGCAGGGCTGTGCGAGGCAGCGCAGCCCAGTTCAAAGCCGGACGGGCGGCCCCCTGACTCTGAGCCTGTTCCTTCCCTCACCTTGCGCGTTCCGCACCCCAGCTACCGAGACCTCCGTTTCGTTTTTTGGTGTGTTTTTTTAATGCATTTTCTTTTCTTTTTTTAAAATATTTTTTATTGATTTTTTACAGAGAGGAAGGGTGAGGGATAGAGATAGAAACATCAGTGAGAGAGAAACATCGATCAGCCGCCTCCTGCACACCCCCAACTGGGGATGCACCTGCAGCCAAGGTACATGCCCTTGACCAGAATTGAACCTGGGACCCTTCAGTCCACAGGCCCACGCTCTATCCACTGAGCCAAACCGACCAGGGCTGCATTTTCCTTTGAGTTTGGCAGATGAAAAAAAAATAAGTTACTTAGGATTTATTTTGAAAAGCATTGTCCCGGAGCCAGCTTGTCTGTATCTGGGCTGCCCCTGCCCCGGCCCAGCCTTGTAGACTGAGCATTGGGATTCAAAATATGAACCCCGACTCCTTGGAACTTACCTCGTCATCAGAAACCTTCATTTCGTGTACAAACAGCATATTAGGAGCAATTACTGACCGATGTAGAAACAAGTAAGAGTTATACCTCACGTTTTTGTCACTCTTTGTGAGGTGGCTTGCAAAGCCACCCATACATTTAATCCTTTGAGTCTCACAACTCTGCAAAAGGTAATTCGGGAATTCTTCCAGTTTTATTGATGCAAAAAACAGTGCCTTGTCCACGTTCTTACGGCATGTAGGAGTTTGAATTCGCTTTTGTTACTGGTCCAGCCCTCCCCAGATCGCCCTCCTGTGTAAAGCATGCCACTTAGTTTAGGTCAGTGGTCGGCAAACTCATTAGTCAACAGAGCCAAATATCAACAGTACAACGATTGAAATTTCTTTTGAGAGCCAAATTTTTTAAACTTAAACTGTATAGGTAGGTACATTATTATTAACTTCATTAGGGTACTCCCAAGCTGGCCTTTGCTAAAAACGTCCTCAATCTGATTGAGGTACGTTCACTGAGGTTGACCCCTTCCAACTCTCCCATCCACACTCATCTCGTATACTTGTTTCGTCTGTCTCCTTTCCGAAAACTGACTTCTGCGCATGGGCCATGAAGTTTCAATCGCACTGTACATGCGCGCCTGCATGTGGTATTTTGTGGAAGAACCCCGCTCAAGGGGCCAAAGAGCCTCATGTGGCTCACGAGCCGCGGTTTGCCAACCACTGGTTTAGGTCTTCTCGATACAGATGTTTCGGATGATTCTGTTATCAGCTGGTATCACTGAAATGGTGCTTGGGAAGCTTGGTGAGGACGAGTGCTGGGGTCTCACTCATGCTCTGTCAGTGTCCCCACCAAGGTGCTTCCCTCTGTGACATGCTGAGCAGAGAGCCCTGAAGCCTCCCTCTGCCGAGCTGGTGTGGCAAGAACTGCCTGTTGGCACTGACGGACCCAGCCTCACCTCTGAGCGCAGTGGCCTCTGGCACAGGGAGGTTACAGCAAGCGGTGCCCTTTGCCCTCTCTGTGCTGCTGGGCGGAGGCAGTGCTGGCAGGCTGCAGAGGGAGCCGCAGGAGTGTGCTCTATGGCGCGGGCAGTTAGGTCAGAGGGCCCCAGACAAGCCAGAGGTCCCTCCAGACCTACCCCACCCACACAGGCGGCCGGTCTTCATGGCACAGCTGGGGTGACAGCTGGAGAGGTGGTTCGGTGTTCTTGCTCTGCAAATGGCCGAACCTCATAGGAGAATGAGTGAATCCGAGCCCTGCAAGGAGAAAGATTACAATTCTGCCTTACAATTCGGAAGCACTTTACAACATTTCACATTGTTCCGCAGGTATTCTTCCTGGCAACCCTTCAAAGTTCCCCTGTTTTTTAGGGAGACACAGGTTCAGAGGGACAGGTGACTTCTCCGAGTCAGAGTGAGAACCCAGGGTTTTTGTCCTGAAGCGCAGTGTCTTACGGTATTGCCCTTGCCTCCCCATCCATGCCCACACAGCTTGGTAGATGAGGTGCTCAGAGCCGAGCCCGGAGGCTGTGCAGGCAAGGGGCAGAATGGCCAGATATTTCGGAGGCAGGGGGGCTCTAGCTTCAGGATCACTGATGAGAGGAAAGGCCCTCTCCTAGCCCCACATTCCTCCCTCACCCAGGGCAGTGTCTCAGAGTTTCCCAGTAGCTGATTGCCCTTTGCTCTGCTTTCAGCATCTGTTCCGAAATTTCTGAATCTGGCATCTGAAAGGCAGGCTGGGCCAGAGCTGGGCAGCTCATTGCAAGTAGCTAGTTCTATGATACTTGATGGCCAGAGTGGGTGGGAATGAATTCCCTAGTGTTCCTGGGGTCCTGGGTGCCCGTGTCACCAGGCTGCCTAACTGGCATTTTCAAACCTGTGTCGTCATTCAGAATCGGCAGGACCTTGTTACTGTGGGTTGGAGAGGTGCATAATGGCTTCTCAACTATAACGCTTATGAAAACCTTTGGCTTTGGAGTATAAGCTGCTTGCAAAGCACTGGGCTTGGGAAGGGCTGGTGCTGTCTCTGGCCACCAGATTCCCAGGCTCCCTTCCGGAGTCCTGACCACTCCCCCCCCCCCCCCCACACACACACACTGCTTTAGCCTCTGCAGGAATGTCCAATGCACGATAAATAGTCATGGACTGGGAGTTGGAGTCCCCACTCAGTCACTGATCGGCCTCCCCCATGTGACCTTGGACTAGCTACCCTTCTCTGTGCCTTAGTTTCCTTATTTACTCAGTTGGGGAAGGGCTGAACCAGAGCTCTGAGGGGAGGAGAGAAGAGCCCAGGAGAGCAGAGAGAGCATCCTCTCCAGACTTGTTCCCTGAGGGCCCAAGGCGAGGCGGCCCACGTGCACCCTTAGCTCCCTTTGTTCCTCAGCACCCCTTCTTCCTCCTGCCCTGGCTCTGCCTCAACCCAGCTCATTTGGAGGAGGGAGGATTCCCTGGGTGGGGCGGCACTGGGCAGGTGTCCCCTCCGTGTTTAGAATATGATGTTGTCTCTACTTGTTGCAGGCATGAATTAACCCACCCAACGATGGTACTTTGTTTTATTAAGACTTGATCAGTTCCTGCCCGGAGACGGGTCCTTGAACAGGCAGCAGTCGGGGGCGGGGCGGGGGGGAGGGGCAGGGATTGGGAATGCATGCCCAGCAGCAGAACAGTAGCACAGTGTCCCATAGCTTTCTGGATGTCAGAATCCAGGAGTTGCAAGCATGCGAAACTTTAGTGTCTTTGGATGTCAGAACTGAGATAGCCTCATAGATTTTCTAGTTCCTTCCTCTGAGTGTACAGATGAGACCCAGGCCCAGAGTGCCTTCAGAGCTTATGTCGATGGCCCTGCCAGTGAGCAGTAGAGCTAGGACCCAACCTAAGGCTACCTAAACCCAGGCGAGTGTTTTCTTTAAGGTCATGCCGGTGGCGCTGTCTGCAATTACATTTTGTACTGAGCTGAAATTGGGTGGCTCCAACTCTGCCTCACTGTGGCGTTTAAAGGGTAAAATTCAGATCATTTTGTTAGACATTACCAGTTACCAGGATTTGTGTTAGTGCTGGAGATGCAGGAATGAAGAAGTGACCCCTGCCCTCGTATTGCTCCACCATACTCTGTAGGCAGACATGTAAAGAACTCAAATACACAAAGTCCATTTGCTTGTGCAATGTGCAAAGATATGTGTGTGTTTGCATATGCACACACGCTATATAATCAGAGGCAAGGGAGCAGTCAGTTGCCTGGGCTTTCCGAATGGCTTTGGAGAGAAAGTGGAATTTGTTCTGGGCCTCTGCCTGGTTGGCATGGATGGCGAGGGTGTTCTGGGTAAAGGAAGTGACAGGAGCAACAGTGGAGCCTAACAGCATGCTCTAGGCCCTGCACTCTGAGAGGTCCCGTGAGGGTGCGGAAGCAGCAGGGCTGAGGCAGAGTGGTGGCTGCAGCTAAGCTGGGAAGGGCTCTGTCCGCATGCTGAGGAGGTCATTGTGAGAGTCCAACGCCAGGGAAACGTGCTCATGTCGGGGCTTCACTCGCTCTGGCTCCAGCGTGGAGGGCAAGCTGTGGAGGACCCGGCTGGAGCCCGGCCAAGCTCAGTTGTGTGGTTCCTAATGGGACAGGCACGAAGTGGTAGGGGCCTGGGCCTGGACAGAAGCCTCCATGTTAAGAAGAGCAGGCGTAGCAAACACATTTTCCTGACTGAGTGGGTATGGGCTGCGAGGAAGAGTCCAATGTGACCGTCCGTTTCTGGCTCCAGCAGTTGGCTGGATGCTGTGTCATTCAGTGAGCTGGGGAACTTGGGAAAAGAAACTGACTCTAGTGGGGGTCACTCACGGACGTAGTGAGCAGAGCTAACCTACAGAACACCCGGGTGGAACTGGGTCAGGAACCTGGAAGTCAGTACCAAGGGGTGGGTGAAGTGCTGGAAGTTGGTGAGGTTGCCCAGGAAGGGAGAGTGGGTTGAGAGGAGTCACTTAAGTGGCAAGAAAAGAAGGGAAGGCAAAGGAGCTAAAGAAGAGCCAGCAGGTGAAGGGCCTCCGTGGTGCCAGCCAACTTCCTGGGTGTGGGGAGAATGGGGTGAGGGTGCAGGCTGCACAGGCAGCCCGGGAGAAAGGGAGGCCTTCCTTTGATTTCAGTGAGTGGGACACATGGGCTGTATTAAGGGCTTCGCTTCATTGGGCTGCACCGGATAGCAGAGAGAGCTGTTGGCACTTGATAAATGTTATCATCTGCATGACTGCAAATGACTCAAACTTTGCTCAACGTTCAGAAGGGCTAGGGGGCCTTGCCAGCTTTCTGGAAATTGAGTATTGGCAGCTGCAGGAGCTCCAGGGTTTCTGGGTGGCCTGGTCCTGCCCATGGAATGAGGGAGCTTCGGGCCATAGGCAGGACTCGGGAGCTCCGCCTCCAGCCCTCCCCTGCTGCCCGGCTGTGCCTGCTCACTGGATAAGCCTCTGTGCTGTCCGCGGCAGCAGGAGTGTGGACGCTGTGAATGGTGAGTGCCTTGTTCCCAGGTTTGAACTGTCCAGGGTTGGGCATCAGGGACCATGTGTCGGCGAGGGAAGGTACTTTGTGACGCTCTGGGCTGCAACGGAGAAACACTCTGCAAATTGAAATGGGCAGGAGAGGGTAGAGTTATAATGAGGAACCAAGAGTGTGTTGACTCCCAAGTGAGCTGTTTTGGATAGTCACAGGATGTCCCTGGGGTGCTTCAGGAGCCTTAGCATTCACCTGACCAGCCCCTCATTTTGGAGTTGGGGACAGTGAGACTGGGGTGGGGGCGAGAGGGCTGTGGTGGTGGAATCAACCCAGCCTGGCCTCGGCAGCCTAGCTG